AACATAAAGAGATGGTTTTGGTACCGTTGGATAGGTCAGAATGGCAGCGTTAAGATGAGACTAAAAACCAGAAAAGCCGAAATCCAAAATTTTACCCTAGACGCTCCCCTTAAACGCTTTTGAAAAGATTCTCTCTTTAAACTCACTCTGAATATTGTCATATATTATATTATAATTTATTTCGTTAAATAGATTTAATCGTTTCAAATAACTTGGAGTTCAAACAAGTTCAAACCAACTGCAGTGAATCCAGTTATAACGAAATCTCCGGTTTGAACAGTTCGCCACCGTTACGAATGCGGTACGCGTATCGGGAGCTAGAGAGCCGTATACCGCTTTATATTTATCTATAACACGACTATAATTGAGATTGATGAGCGGCCGTATACTCCTTCCATATAAGCGAGCATTTTGAGCTGCCACACTGGCACGACGAGCGCCTACATCATTTATATACCTGAACACAAGCTGTTTTAAGAACTGGTTTCTCGGTCGATAACATCAGGAATTTACTCGGACAGCTTCGCTCTAAATCTTGAAGATAACAAACTACGGAGAAAACAAAGCCATGTTTGTACAAAAGGGGCGTTTATGGTTAAACTTTGGCCGCGATATTAAAGCAGAGCCTAGACTATGCGCCTCATGAATATTGAGTTTAGAACAGAGCTGAACAATGCTATCGCGTCTTTAATTAACGCTGCCGTGCAAGAGCTTGTAATAGTTCAACTAATCGATCTAATTTAGGCCCAGTATATACTCAAATTTCTATGCCTATTATTCCAGCATTAGGATTCCCTGTACTGAAAGCGAAACTCTGTCGGTTCCTTTACTCACTAAAAGTTGCACGAGTTTCATTTTACAGGCTTGAAAATCAAAATTAATTTTATCATTTTCTTTTACAGCGTCCGATATTATCTTAATAGCTCCGTTTTCAATGAAAATTTTTCGCATCAATGAAGCTTTTCGACATTATTTTCTGCAAATGATGCAATGCTTCACTACTAAATTTATTTTCCTGTTAAGTTTTGAATGGAATTTTTTCCATCCATAATAAACAACGTAAAGACCCAACAGAGCTAATGAAGATATTGCATAGCCTTCCTGTCAAACTTCCCTGGACTTGCACTAAAAAGACGGCGTGCAGCACAGCGTAGAATTCACTACAATAAACTATTACACCATGATTTCCACCAAAAACTGCACGAAACGCAGCATACAAATTAATGTCAAACTTATTATTATTCAATGATGTGAACCAAACGCTACTGGAAATACAACTTAAAAATCACCTCAACACTGATTATTTTTAGCGATCAAGTTCGAGTTCTCCCGACAGGTGTTCACTATAATAGTTGTTTTCTAGGAGTACGTGATTACAAAAATCGCTGGTTTGTTATTTCGTAAGTTTACTTTTGTTTTAGTTTATGTGCAAATTTAGCTTATATCTCTCAATTAATTTTTAAATTCATTTTTTCATCTGACTAGATATAGCAAATTAATCCCGAGCATATCCCATTTAAATTATTTTTTACTTTTGATTGATCATCAGCTATCGATTGATCTTCAGTCTCAGAAGCGTCAAGAGGCTTTAAGCAGATTAAAACTTCAAGCTTTTTTAACTTCAAAAGGATGCGTGGGTGATTCTCAAATTTACTCTAATGGATGTAATTATTATTAAAATTTACTCATATACATTGAAATTTACGATTAACTTAGAAAATTATATTGTGAAGAATGGAATTAATAAGTTCTTTATCAATATGATCCATTAGGGCTCAGTTATTTAACCCTTGTTGGACTATAACATGCATTACATACATGTACTAAAACACGATAAAAATATGAAATATCACATTGTAGAATTATTAATTATGTCAAGTGTAAATTTTTACGGATCTTTTGTAATGTGTCGCCGTATTATCAAAACTTGCTTAGGTACACTACGATAGGGGCATATTACACTTAGCGGTATGGTAAAAGAGCGGCCCAAGTTCTCGTATCGTCCGATTTCTAGTCTATGATGGGTGAATTTAGATTGAAAAGTCCTCAATGATTGATTGGCAGAGTTACGAACTCGTTATCATTTGTAGTAGTACGGCCTCTAGCATCGATGTACGTAGGTGTACGCGTCAACACCATCTCACTGACTGGCATTCCTGCGACCCTGCGAGCCTCACCGCATTCCGGGTCGTCGTCGCTGGTGCGGTGTCGTTGTGTCCTGTGTTTTTTATTTATATTTTATTTTTTTATATATATTGCATGAGGTGCTTACTTGAAACAGTGCATGCTTACGTGAAACTAGTGCAATGAAAGACTCGAGCATTTACAGCAAGAGTAAGTAAACAATTTGATCATTTGATAACTCTAATACTATTTTTGATAATTCACTGCAAATGATAAGCGTCGTAGTTAATGATAGGAAGGTTGGCAACTATGTTCGCTGGCGCTTGCATGATCACTCAAATCTTTCGCTTTTTCCTTTGCTTTACCCACTTTAAATCTCAAGTACATAAGAGCTAACGTTTTTTTTAATCTTGGTATGCGTTCTCGTCTGTCGATTTGCGCTGAACAGTGAATTACTTGAGTCAGTTCTGTCTTCATCCTGTAATGCAAGGTGTCATTTTTTGTGCACCTTTATACGTATTAGATAAAATTAAGTATCACCTGAGGTTGGTCCGGTGACCGTGATTACGAGGAATCTGCTTTAGAAGACTCCTCTTCTGCAGACTCGCTTAGGAGTAGTTAACTTAAGTAGCAGACTTTAGCTCACCGCAATCAATGTTATTACTACCATCTGTAAAAAATACTCTTTGCAGTAGGAATAGCATTGATTGGAATATCAAGAGAGCCTTCGCTTGTGCGGTAAGAGGTTAAAGACGCAATTCAGGCCTCGCTTGAAGAAGTCATACGATAACTCAAGCCATTGCAGCGGCCAGGCGCTCGATTCGAAGTACTGTTACCTTAAACGCCGCTCAGGCTCCCTAGCCGCCCCTCGAGGTTGCCAGGCTTAATCCGACTCCACCTTTGCAAACAAGAAAAAAAGTCGGCAAAATGAACGAGAAAACAAAAAGCGTTCGTTCCTCGGAACCTGTTCTCCGTGAAGCTTCCATGTCGTACGCTCAACGCTCGCCAGGTGGTGGCTGTGGCATCCTGCTTGTGCCATCTGCGGAGCTGCACTGCCGGCCCTCTGTGCCAGGTGGTGGCAGTGGCATCCTGCTTGTGCCATTTGCATCGTCATCATCTTTTTTTTCTTTTATTAAACATTCATTGACCCATCCCGAACTAAGTGGTGTATGATTTTTCTTTGCTTCTATTTTAATCGGTTAGAACTCGCTTTTACATTTTAATGCATCAAATCTTAAATTCATTTTCAATCACTTACATTGTTACTGTTTCTCATAAGTATACACTATGTTCTTGAGCTATGAAAAACTGGTCCACTTTTCTTGGTCGTTTTATGAACAATATTTACCTTGTTGATTTTATTAATATAGAATTATTCATAGTCGTGCTCAGCAATGATATTTGTGATAGCTAAACTGAAGGAATTTTGATCAATTTTCAATTAAAACATTGAAAGTATTATTGCAGAATTTTGAAGAGTATGAGTATTGCACCAAGTGCGGAATAAAAGTTCCCATTGCCCTGAGTTCGTTAAGAGGTAGGCCAATTTTGCAATGTTATATTAGGTTGATTTGTATGTATTTGTCAATTTTAGGTTTTAACGTCCGAATTTAAATTTTGGATTATAAAATGATTATATTTACTTTCTAGGTTTATCGAACAGAAGATGGAACTCGACTACGAAGCTCTTTCGTTTATAAAGATGTCGTGAACTTCTGTGCCATCTTCTTTGTTTTTAAATTCCTTGTTGATTTGAGATTAATGCAGTCAAATTATTTTAGTGCAATAATTACTTAATCCAGAAAAAATTCGAGTTATGTGAAATGTGCCCTCGAAATTCGTTCGAACAAGGCCCGACAATCGCTTCGCATAATAATAGTAGTAATAGTAATTGTAATAATAATCAATGTTTCTTGACAAACAACGAATTTTTTTAATATTTCACTGAAAAACAAAGCAACACCTTTATTATTTTATAAATATTAATGTCACCTCAAACGTATTGAGAACTCGTGGAAGTTGTCAAGTTCGTCGATAAAACAATCGATGTGACACGCTTTCTCACTGAATGTTATATGCAGAATTTTTTCGATGAACTTGTGAGAAAACAGATTCCACTGATTAGCAACCCAAACGCTGAAAGTCGAGGTAAAATATGGGCTATTCCTTGGGCTGAAACGTGCACCTCATTGCATAATTAATTTTTTTTATGACAGACACCACGCATGTCGATGGAGCTGTTGCTTTTAAATATTTTGTAACACTAACTTCATCTGTGTCTCCTTTACTTGTTATATAAAAAATAGATAAAATATATCTCATTAGCGGAAAAAGAGGCCGGTTTTTTATGAGTAAATCTGTAAAACTATCAGGTAATACAACAATTTGAGTTTTATTTGTTAGACTAATTTTATTGATGTTGGCCATCTAAACAACTGTTTAGATAAAGTTTCTATGAGAGTGATAATAGAAAATATATTCTGGGGTGAGACTATACTATCTGGCAGAGGCGTTGCTCTCCTGAACTCATACCATAAATCCATAATATATACCGCTAATAGAGGAAATAAAACGACGTGAATCCAAATTAATAGCAGTATATTTGCCTGTTTTGAGCAGTTATTGCTTTTCTTCTATGCGCTTCTCATGTGTATATTGTTTTTGTTCTGTGATAAAACACGTGCAAATGGAATGCACTGGAAATTCTAAATTATTAAACTTACGTAATCTGTTAATGAATCTTCAATTCTCATTCAGCTGATAACTAGACTTACATAATGCCACACAATAAAACCTATTTCTTGTATTAATAAATTCCGTAATTTCATCCTCATTCTCTGATAGCATTTTAACGTTAGCTTTACTTTCTCCCTCAGGCGTGCCCTGGGGAGCCTCAGCGCCACGTGTTCAAGTTGAAGAAGTTGAAACGCTCGCGCCCATGTCACGTGTGTCACCAACACGTCGCAAAACTCGGCGCTTGCTGCAGAGGTGAGTCATCGCTATAAGTGGGTCAATTACATTGGCACAAGACTTTAGTTTAATTCTTCTTTTGTAAATAAACACAACAGAATGAATAAAACAGGATATATTCTCGTCACGATTGATCAACACGTTGTATAACTCGGCGCTTGCTGCAGAGGTGAGTCATCGCTCTAAGTGGGTCAATTACATTGTAACACGACGTTATATAAATTCTCCTGTAGACAACCATAACAGAATGAATAGAATAGGATATATTTACGGCATGTTTGTTAAACACGTTGTCTAACTCGGCGCTCGCTGCAGAGGTGAATCATTGAGTAAACTCAAATCATGCACAAAACCATATTCATTTTGGTGTTTTTTTAATAACAACAGAATTAAATTATTCGTTGCATCTCTGTTGTTGTTTAGTAACCACAACGGAAATGAAGAACAGAGTTTATGAACGACATGATTGACTTTTGCTAATATTCGTTGCATCTCAGCCTATTTTTGATTTAGTCAAATACTTAAAATTTAATGCCTGTGCATATCGTTCTTCTAGCAAGCGAATGTAGCAATCAAAGCAGGACTGGGCAGTAAACTGTGAATGCGAGTGCAGAGGAGTGTCAAAGCTTATTTGGGACAATAAATAAATTGGCAATGATTAATAAAAAGTGAACGAGTACATAACTTTATTAGGAATGTTGAATATTGTGACCTGTAGTGAGATGTGAGCTACTCTTATTGATAACATGCTGAAAATTTTTACTTTATCACTTAATTTTTTACTTTATCACGTAATGAGCTAGTATTACGTAGCTTGATATAAGCTAATTTCTTTTTTTTTGCGTGTGTGTGTGTGTGTGTGCATTGTGGTTGCATCCTTTTTTAATGCACAATTCATGAGTATATGCATCAATACTGGAAATGACTGCTAATTCTACTCTCAATCGAGGAAGTCATAATCCATTTATTATTAAATACTGTTATAAATGTTCACTATTTATATTTAATCAGAAATCATAATTACAAATTAAGATGTTAACCGGTCTGCTGAAAATTTGCTTCCATTCGATACGAAAACTTTTGAGTCAATATAAATTTTTTTCTTATATATAATATGGTAGGAGTGAGTCTTTCAAAAACTGGTGAATTTTTTGACCAACTTTAGCGCTGCCGACAACTTTAGAGGTTATTGAGCTTCCTAAAAAGTTTTTTTTTTCTTTCACAGTTTGCAAGTTCCTTGTCCACAAAGGCTGCGAACCTAAGGTAAGACATTTCTCGGGAATCCTTTCTCTCTGTCTTTTCGCCAACAACGGTAAGTCTTTAAAATTTGTAGTGAAGCTCCACTTTTTCATCAAAAATTCCAAGCATACAGGCCCATTATTAGCGTTCAGTAATTCATATTTACATGAACTTTATAGTATTTTTTTGTGGGGGGGGCAGGGGGAATCGTCTGCAACTCAGTTACATTTCGAATCGTTTTGATGATATGCTTATAAGATAAGGGGAAGCAAACAAATTAAACTTTTATTCGTAAGCTCCGTCGCAAAGCCGAAAAGCCCGAGAAAAAATTACGCGCGTATTACGTAGACAAAACTTTTGGCAGGACAACAGATTTTTATTTCATTAGCACAGGTTCGTCATCACAGACGAACAGACACGATGTTAACAAATAACAAATAAACGAAACTATTAAGCGTTTAGTTTGACTACTCTAGTCTGAGTATTGATCATATAGATAGTAATGATTTCAATCGTGATTTCAAACTTACAACAATAAGATCGAACTGGAGAAAAATAGATGAGATGTAAAAATAAATCGTCGTGTTCACCATCAAGTTCCAAAACCGACTAAACTATCTACAGATCCCTGCTTATTAATAAATGAAAATGATAAGAATTGAAATTCAAGTAATACGGAAATTTCTGACATATTCGGAAATGCTTTTCAAAATCAAATTTAGTTCTCAAAAATTTATTTGAACTTTAGTCGACCGAGACAGATTTTGTCGTGTCTCCGCTCACACACTGCATAATCGACATAGTGTGTTAAGTATTATTAAATCAACTCGCTTATCATTAACCGTTATTGAGTCTCGTGCTAAACATGTGCCGGAACTGATTGCATCTATAAAAAATACCTACTGATTAAATTCAGTCTCTTCACTAGAAAAAATTCCTGTCATGTATCGACCAAGTTAACGCCTTATTCGTGCTCTGACTGTAAGAATATTTTATACAAAGAACGATTATATTGCAAACTGTTGAGGTCTTGTTGACGTATGCGGATCATGCTGCGCATCGCATCACACCTCATCGCTATGCCGTGCGTGTCTCGTCATTTTGCTGGTGCACGTGCCTGCTGCTGGTGTAGTGGCTAGCCGGTCCCCTGCTCTGTAGTGTGCCAGTCACCAACCCTCGACCTGTGCGCGGTATACACGCGTCTATAGCCTCAACCCTCGAGCTGTGCGCGGTCCACAGGCATCTATAGCCCCAACCCTCGAGCTGTGCGCGGTCCACAAGCATCTATAGCCCCAACCCTCGAGCTGTGCGCGGTCTACACGCATCTATAGCCCCAACCCTCGAGCTGTGCGCGGTCTACACGCATCTATAGCTCTACGCATCTATAGCCCCAACCCTCGAGCTGTGCGCGGTCTACACGCATCTATAGCCCCAACCCTCGAGCTGTGCGCGGTCTACACGCATCTATAGCCCCAACCCTCAAGCTGTGCGCGGTCTACACGCATCTATAGCCCTAACCCTCGAGCTGTGCGCGGTCCACACGCATCTATAACCCCAACCCTCGAGCTGTGCGCGGTCTAAACGCATCTTTATTCGATATGTGCGTGGTTAACATGCAGCTTTAATCGAGCTGAGCGGGGTTCTCGAACATCATTAGCCCAAACCTCGACGAATTATCAATTTGAAAATACATTTGGAGATAGAAACATGAAAATTCGGTGAATTTTTATAATTACTTGTGAAGATATTTGTGCGTTTTTTTTTATTTTTTTCGTGTCATATCAGTGTGAATTATTATCATAAATCTCATTCTTTCGTGATGGCTTATGAATTCAATCTTCCTTAAAACCCTGTTCGTGATTTGTCTTTTGGCACCAACAAACTCGTTATTTTGTACTCGTATTTTGTTTTCATATTTGTTGTGACTTTTAAAGCTTAAATCTTTCATTTATCTTGTGGTACTTCAACTTGAAAAATATTCAGACATTCTGATGATAATTTTTCCTTTTATTTTATTTCCTAGCTCCATAATTAGTCATGTTCTTCATTTACATGAATTTCACAGGTCATGGAGGTCATTTTATAGCTGTTATAAATTACCCATTGCGTCTGGCTTAATTACCGGACGAGTTTACGTTCAGCGGAGCCACGTTAATTTATAGCTAAGACTTTGAATGCTGTCTTTTATCTTCGCTCTTAATGAGCTGTTTTGTGACGTCCGTACTACTCTGTACATCACGAATGTTTTTATATTTCGTTTGCAATGATGCAACGGCAAAAAATCTGACGAGATTTCAATATTAAATAATTCATTACGGTGAAGACAATAAAGTAACCAAGATTTCAATAATATATAACGATCTCTGTTATATCTCAACCTTAAACAATAAAGATCTCAGTAAGATCTCAGCATGAAATAATATTAACGATTCAATTAGATCTCGGTTTAAATAACAACGATATCAGTAAGATCTCAACCTGAAATAACGATGTCGGTAAGCTCGCTGCCTAAAATTATGTTGATCTTAGTAAGATCACAACCTGAAAAAAAAACTATCTCATTAGATCCACAAAAGTAAATAGAGTGAATTAGATCTAAAGTACAAAAGCCGGACAAAATAATGCCCCCACAGAATAAAAGTGTCTCAGAATAAAAACAATTCCAAGTTTACTGGCAAGGAATCCAGGAATGAAGTATAAGTAATCAGGTATTGCGTGAAAGTGTTTAAGTACAGGAGGCTCACGGAATTTGTTTACGCCTTCAGTCTTTTATACCATGAATTTGTGAACTAATTACTAAGTTCCTAACTGCTGGAGTAGATGTTCTTCTTAGAGCATGGAATTTTACTTATGGGTCTCGAATTTTAACCCCTCGATCAGAGTCTACCAAGATGTTAAGTTCTTCGATACCGGAATATTTTCTGTAATTTTTCCTACAAGATGGATATTGAAGTTCTTTAATTAATGATTAATCTTGAATGTTCCCGTAAAATGGTTTGGTTAAAATGTTTCATGCTTACTTTCTTCGTTGAGTCAGGCTAAGGAACAACCCGGACCTTATAAGGGCAGCAACCTCTATCTTCTTAGGACGACTTAACGACCACAGACACGAATACCATCGCTCTTATATCGACACGATGACTCACTTGTGCTCTACGAGGCCTTTTACAAAATTATCCTTTTTAATATTCATAAAAGCCCAACAAATTTTTTGTGATGCTTTTTTATATGTTATTATCCGGTTTAATATTTAGAAAAGATGCCTTTCGCAAAATTATTCTTCTTCTGAATCAAAAGTTAATAATTTTTCCAAGATGCCTTTCAGTAAATTATATTTTTAATATTCAGAAAATAAATAAATAACTTTCAAAAGATTGGAAACAGTTTAATCTAAATTATCTTAACCACTGTTTCCACGGCCTATCCACCTTTCAACAATAATATAATTTATATGAAATTTACGGCCTAAAAATTTTTTGTATTTTTGTTCCCTTATTCCACACGTCCGCCTCCCACATGCTTTCAAATTTAGTCGCTAACTCACTTACCGGATAAATTAGCACGTAATTTATTTATTCCGCAACCTGAAGTTTTTCTAGAAGCCATTGCCTCGGCCGTTGTCCCTGGACTTTTAAATGTGGGAAATGAGCTGCGAGGTCGGCCGCGAATTAACGTCCATTATTTGCCTATTTACTACCGACAGTAACTCCCTTCATGTGAATTAATCCCATTTAGTACCAGACGCTGGTATATACTGTATTTTTGTACGGCTTTTATTAATTGGTTGTTACTTGGTAAGAGCTGCGCAGGGGATAATTGCGGTCATAAAAAATTTCACATTTTCATCTGACTTCATCTGGTTGCATACTAATTATTTTTTTATTATATATCGAAGTTACTTACAATTGATATTTAAAGAATATTTCAATTAAACTAATCTCTTCGTGTCATTTTCGTTTTTGTCTTGAAAATTCAACTATATTTGAAACATAATTGACGTTCGTGAAAAGGTAAATTGTTTCATATATGTATAACTTGTTTACCTTTATATTTTGTGGTTATCTTTGAATACTTCAGGCATTATTTATGTTTCGTTATTAAATTTCCGCTAGTGTCTCGTGAAGGAATAACATAATATTCTTCCATCTGCTGAGTAACCTGAGATTTCTTCATCATTTCGTTCAAGTTCAAAATTCGGCTTAAGTTTAAAGACTTGATGGTTCTATCTTAGAATCGTTCCTCTTTTCCTTATTTTTAAATATTCTTTAATATTTCTATTGAATCGAATAAAACACACTCTGCAATCAGCCTTTATCAAGAAAATATCACCATCTAGATTTTATTTTGGGCTTTCGAATCTTTTCACAGGCTATCTTTCTAGCAAAAGTGTTGTAGAACCTCGAAGTATATATGGCGCTGCTAGCTAAAGTTCCATTGAAGCACTCGTATCGTCACTGTACTGCACAGTAGTGACTGTGCAGTTATAGTACAGCTAGGGTACAGCTCCCATACAGTTGCGTTATATCTACAGGGAAGATAGCTGCTGTTATTGTGCGGTCACAGAGACAGTGACGCGTCACAGTACCCAGTATACAGTGAGTATATGGTGCTCTAGACAGCGAGGGTTCGCACGGTACTCTAGAGAGTGAGTGTTCTCATGGTTGTCTAAGTGGCCTTCCCTCATTATGCGATAGCGCATAAGAAGCGCGCCTGCGTGGTGCGACTGAACCTTCGTTGCTGTTGCCGCGCTGCCGCTGCTGGTGCTGGTTGTTGCTGTGGTGCTGGTGATGTGGTGCTGGTGCTGTGGTGCTGTTGTTGCTGTCGTGCTGGTGCTGGTTGTTGCTGTGCTGCTGGTGCTGTGGTGCTGGTTACGGTGCTGGTGCTGGTTGATGTTGTGGTGCTGGTGCCTATCTATTATAGTTGTCAGAGCTGCAGTGTAGTGTCAGTGATGCTGGTGCAGGTAGCAGTCCTGTCAAGCGTGGTGCAGTGTAGTGTCAGTGATGCTGGTGTAGGTAGCAGGCCTG